GTATTTATTTTGTATATAATCAATCCATTTTTTCCAGTCTCGTTTATATCTCTCATTTGAGTGGTCTTATGTAGATATTTTAGCCATCTCGGCTAAATTTGTGACTTTCAATGTCCATTCTTGAATTGTAGGCAGGTCTTCCTTCTTCCAGTATTGTATTTTGTATTCTATTGGTGTTCACAGGATTGTAGGTTTCTTTGTCCTCCAGTATTTCTTTTGGTTTTTGTAGGCATTGTGTCTATCCATAATCATAGGGGTTTGGCCTTTGTCTGCAATTAGGATGATGATGGTCTGCTCCTTCAGGCTGCTTTGTCTTCTGTTGTAAATTGTCTTCTGAAGGCTGCTTTGTCTTCTGTTGTAAGTTGATTCCGTTCCTATATTTTTCTGATCTGTGGAATGATACTTTGTCTAATGTTTTCTTGGACTTCTGTGTTTTTTTCAGTGGAGTATAGGGCAGTAGGAGTCCCAAAGTGCATAGATGGGGAGAGAAAGGCAGGTGGAAGGAGTTGAAATGCCCTTATGATTGTAAGCACAGGGAGGTGGCCAAGCACCTGAATTTTGATTACATGATTGTTGGGTGCTACAGTGGCTATAACTTCCAGGTACCAGTTGTAAGGCCCTTCTTTCAGCACCATCATTAATTTCACACAGTCACTGGACAGATGATTGTAAGTTGAAGACTACCTGCAGAAAACTTAGCTTGTAAAGTTTTTTTAAATAATGGTTTTGTTTTGTTTGGTGCCTTTGAATCATCATAAAAGTCTAGCAAGTTCAAGCTGTTTTCTTGGCAAGATGTTCAAAAATAGTTGCCCATTGCCTTCTTCCTAAGGTTAAGAGAGATTGACTGGCCCCAGGTTGCTTTGTGCTGTACAGTAGATGGAACTAGAACTGTTTTCTAGCCCGTTGTCTTATCCACTACATCAAATTGGATCTTTAGCTTGTAAGTTAAGGCTTTAGAATATAGTTTCAAAATAAACTAAAATAAAAAAGAATGTAACCTTTTAACTGAAAAAGAGGATTGTGGAAATCAAAATGTTCAACAATATTTCCTTTTCTATATTTGGGAACTGATTTGTATATGTCAATGTACATCAAATATCTGAAAGCTGGGTGAACTCCAAAATCCATCAATTCAATCTCCCTCCCTCCCTCCCTCCCTCCCTCCCTCCCTCCACATGCATGCATGCACGCACGCACACACACACACCTCTATTGGAATATGAATACCAAGAATATTGTTTTGAACTAATAGAATACTGTTACAATTCTTCTGGCTATAAGAGACTTGTGTTTATTATTCTCAGTTGAAAATGAGAGCAGGAGGGATGAGTGATTCATCAAAATGGAAGAAGCAGAAACGATCACTAAGAAACTCTTGCCATGTAACCAAGGCATCTCAAGGAATAGAACAGTCAGCTGCTAATGGCACAGGTAGGACAAATAATTGTTTATGTAGTAAAATGTATACGCTCTGAATATGGGTAATCGTTGAGAAAGCATTTCCTCTTTCTTGTTTCCAGTTGCCATGTTAGTTACATTTTTTAATATAAATTGGTGCTAAATTGTGAGGATTTAAGAGTATAACAGATAAGTGGAAATTTGGCTCAAGTTTGCCCCATGCTAAATTGTTTTTGGTAAGGTAAGTAACCTCGGATAGTCACTCACGCCCTCGTCACCTCAAGACTGGATTACTGTAATGCGCTCTACATGGGGCTGCCCTTGAAGAGTGTTCGAAGACTTCAGCTAGTCCAGAATGCAGCCATGCGAACAATTGTGGGTGCACCTAGGTACACCCACGTTACACCTATCCTCCGCGAGCTGTACTGGCTTCCCATTGGTCTCCGGACATGCTTCAAGGTGCTAGTCGTTACTTTTAAAGCCCTACATGGTATCGGACCTGGTTACCTGAGAGACCGCCTCCTGCCAGTCACCTCCCAAAGACCTATTAGATCCCACAGACTAGGCCTCCTCTGGATTCCATCTGCCAGCCAATGTCGGCTGGCGACCCCCCGGGGGAGGGCCTTCTCTGTAGCTGCTCCGGCCCTATGGAACAATCTCCCCGTTGAGATTCGGACCCTTACTACCATTCCGGCCTTCCGCAAAGCAACTAAGACCTGGCTGTTCTGGCAGGCTGGGGCTGTTGAATTATCCAGCCCTATCCTATGTTATGACTGTTGCTGAATTTTTAATTGTTGTTTTTATTTTTGTACCCCCCCTTCCCTTCTTATTGTTAGCTGCCCTGAGTCTTCCGGGAGTAGGGCGGCATACAAGCTAAATAAAACTCAAACTTTATTGCTACTTTTTTTCTGTGAACACATTGGAACACATTAAAAAATGAAATTCTGATACCAGGTCTCAAAGGTGTTTGTGTGTGTGTGTGTGTGTGTGTGTGTGTGTGTGTATGTATGTATGTATGTATGTATGTATGTATGTATGTATGTATGTATACACATACACCCATACCATACATATGCTCTCTCTCTATATTATATACATTATTGTTGTTGTTAGTTGCAAAGTCATATCTAACCCATCGTGACCCCATGGACATCGTTCCTCCAGGCCTTCCTGTCCTCTACTATCCTCTGGAGTCCACCTAAGCTCACGCTGACTGCTTCGGTAACGCCATCCAGCCACCTTATTCTCTGTCATCTCCTTCTTCTTTTGCCCTCAATCGTTCCCAGCATTAGGATCTTATCCAGTGAATCCTTCCTTCTCATTAGGTGGCCAAAGTATTTAAGTTTCATCTTTGGGATCTGGCCTTCTAAAGATGAGTCAGAGTTGATCTCTAGGACTGACCAGTTTGATCGCCTTGCAGTCCAAGGGACTCGCAGGAGTCTTCTCCAGCACCATAGTTCAAAGGCCTCCATTCTTTGGTGCTTAGCATTTCTTACGGTCCAACTTTCACAGCCATACATTGCAACTGGGAAAACCATAGCCTTGATTATATGCACTTTTGTTGCAGGGAGATGTGTCTACTTTTTAGTATGCTGTCTAAATTTGATGCCTTAGCTTTCCTCCCCAGGAGCAAGTGTCTTTTAATTTCTTTGCTACCGTCCACATCTGCAGTGATCTTGGAGACCAGGACAATAAAATCTATCACTACCTCTATTTCTTTCCCATCTATTTGCCAGGAATTGAGAGGGCCAAATGCCATGATCTTTGTTTTCTTAATGTTGAGTTTGAAGCCAACTTTTGTACTCACCTCCTTCACCCACATCAACAGATTTTTTAGTTCCTCTTCACTTTCTGCCATTAGAGTGCTATCATTCACATATCTTTTTGATATGGCCAAAGGACTAATCAATAAAAACTCAATGTCATATCTGAAGTTGTTGATATTTCTCCCGGCAATCTTAATTCCAACTTTTGATTCACCGTATACATACACACACATTAATCACAGACCATTTAGAATACATAGCGGAAAAAAGAGACTTGAGAGTTAACAAGGTGATATGGTATGAAGCTATTACAGAATTTAGTTGTTCGGCTTCGGATACTGCAGAGCCTCCTCTCAGAAACTAACAAAGAAAATTGGTCATGGAGAGGATGTGTAGCATCTCAGACAATACTGTGGACCCTGGACAAGCTTTGCTTATATGCCATGTCCTGGATGCAATAATCTTTTCTGCTGTCCTTAACCACTCTCTGCACAGCCTTCCTGTCCGAAACAGTAATACCTCCAAACCTCTAGTAATACAATACAATATGACAGGATGCTTTCAGTCCTCCCTCAATAGAAAGTGGAAAAGATAGGAGAAGGGAGATATGCTCTTCTCATGCAACGCAGAAAATGGTGTTCCTACTTCACCAGGGTCTCACTTTTGAAGGACCAAGCTAACCCATTCATCAGCTGCACACCCAAAAATTTCATACTACTAAACCACCTTCACAGTTGAATTGTTAATACAGATGTGTGACTGTGCTTGCCTTTTCTGAAATTGACAGTTACCATATTTTTCAGAGTATAAGATGCACCAGGGTATAAGACACACCAAGGTTTTGAAGAGGCAAATTAAAAAAGAGAGAGTTTTTGCACTCTGCAAACCTCCTCAAAACACCCAGTTTTTCGTGAAAATGGGCCCATTTTTTTAAAAAAGGGCACGAATAGCCCTTAGGAGGCTTGTAGAGTGTTCCTGGGGAGATGGGGTGGGGAACAAGCAAAAAATGGTCTGTTTTTTGCAAAAACAGGCCCATTTGTTGTAAAAAAAGGGCATTAGAAAGCTTATAGAGTGCTCCTCGGGGCTGGGAGGGGGATTGCCTGTTTTTTGCCCATTTATTGCCTGTTTTTTGCTCATTTCTGCCCTCCCCAGCCCCCAGGAGCTCTCTGAAAGCCTCCTACAAGCTATGCACGGCCATTTTGTATTCAGTGTATAAGACGCACCCAGATTTTCAGCCTCTTTTTTGAGGGAAAAAGGTGCCTTATACTCCGAAAAATACGGTATCTCTTTTGTTTTTCCTTCATTTAAAACAAGGCTGCTTTTATTACACCAGTTCATCAACTCTATAGCATCTCCTGGTAATTGCCCTCATTATCATCCTGAATAAGGTCCATCACTGTTGTATCATCTGCATACTCACAGTATGGTTGGGTAGCAAATCTTGCACAATAGTCATGGGTCAGCAAGGTAAACAAATAATGTAAAAGAGGTTCCGATGTTTCTAGAACTATAAAAGCCACAGTGGAATGGGTATCAGCACATACCTCACTGTTGTCTAGACACAACTTCACAACTCAGGGGGAATGGGACACATTGATACATTACAAATAATCACGTCACAAAGGAATCACAGGTGGGCCGGTTAGCTATTTGGCAATAAGAAGGGAGCTGGTGGTCAGTGAGACCTGGAGAGACAGCCATTCAATGTGTTTTTTCTCCTTTTTGACTGCGACAATGTTTGGCAATAGTGAATGTATTGATTTTTCAAAAAAACACTAGTGGGTTGCACAATGTTACTTACTGGGCAAGATCCAGACATTAGTTCTTAGAATATGAACTAAAGCAGGGCAATATTAACATTTAGTGTAAGAAAACAACTATGATTTAATAACAGTGGTGTACAATAGGTTTAATGTGAGAACAGTTTTATTGCCATGCTTCATAAATTGGATTATTTTTAAGAGTTTTGCTTTCTCCAAGCACAGTGTTTCTCAATGATGCCACTAGGTTTCACTTCTATCTCATCTGTTCACAGAACATCGTTCCGTAATAACCTTCTTTGCCTCCCCTCATCTCAGCCTAGTTTAAATACTGAATTAATTTAGTCATAATGAAGTGAGCAATAGGTTAGGAAAGAATATGTATTTTAATAAAATTTATTAGTTTGAAAAAGTACCAGTCTCCTTCTGGTTTTAGTAAACCAAAGAGCTTCCATGGATAGGCAGTTAGCCATTTAGGAGCAATTTGTCAAATTCCAACATCAATCTCTTATTTAGATTTAGATTTAGATTTTTAGATTTTACTTTATTTGTATGCCGCCCTTTTCCCTGGGGGGACTCAGGGCGGCTCACAATTCAAGGGTTATTCCAGGTAACTTTTAAAAATACTTTATGGAAAAGCTGTAGATATTATGCTGTGATCTTAGTGTTGTGGCCTGGCAGCGGCCAACGAAGCTAGCAGCAGATTCGGACAGTGAGGAGGTTGGGGAGGAACATGGGCCAGTCCCGGAGTTGGGGGAAGGCTCTGATGAGGCTTCTGTGTCAGAGGCAGAGATGGTGCCAGAGCCGTCTGACAGCTATCAGCTGCCTTCAGAGTCAGACATCAGTGAGGCAGACAAACAGCTGGAGCCTGTTCCCAGTGTGTGCATGCGCAGAGTTGCCAGACAAAGGGAACAGCTAAAGAACAGGAGTCGACTTGGGAGTAAAGCCACAGGTGGATGATGAATGGCCCCTCCCAAAGGAAATAAAAGAGGAGCGAAAGGGGAGTGGAGTTTGCAA